CCATGTGCTGACATGGCATGAGTCAAATTGAGGAGAAACAGCTGCGAACATCAGTTAATCACTGGAACATGGAATGTATGAAGTATGAATCTAGAAAAATTGGAAGTTGTCAAAAATGAAATGGAACACATAAAGATTGGTATCCTAGGCATTAGTGAGCTGAAATGGACCTGTTTTGGCCATTTAGAATCAGACAACCATATGATCTACTATGCTGGGAATGACAAATTGAAGAAGAATGGCATAGCATTGATCATCACAAAAGATGTTTCAAGATCTGTCCTGAAATACAGTGCTGTCAGTGATAGGATAATATCCATACAGCTACAAGGAAGACCAGTTAATACAACTATTATTCAAATTTATGCACCAACCACCAAAGCCAAAAATGAGGAAATTAAAGATTTTTTATCAACTTCTGCAGTGTGAAATTGACTGAATATGCAATCAAGATGTGTTGCTTATCACTGATGATTGGAATGCAAAAGTTGGAAACAAAGAAGAATCACTGGTAGTTGGAAAATTTGGCCTCAGTGACAGAAATAATGCTGACGGTTGCATGATAGAATTTTGAAAGACCAGCAACTTATTCATTGCAAATATATTTTTTCAACAATACAAACGGTGAATATACACGTGGACTTCGCCAGATGGAGTACACAAGAATCAGACTGACTACATCTGTGGAAAGAGGCGATGGAAAAGCTCAATATCTTCAACCAAAACCAGGCCAGAAGCTGATTGTGGAACAGACCATCTACTGCTCATATGCATGTTCAACTTGATGTTGAAGACAATTAAAACAAGTCCACAGAAACCAAAATACGATCTTGAATATATCCCTCCTGAATTTAGAGACCATTTAAAGAATAGATTTGATGCATTGAACACCAATGACTGAAAAACCAGAAGAATTGTGGGATGACATCAAGAACATCATTCATGAAGAAAGGAAGAGGTCAATAAAAATACAAGAAAGAAAGAAAAGACCAAAATGTATGTCAGAAGAGACTCTGAAATTTGACCTTGAGTGAAGAGTAGCTAAAGCAAATAGAAGAAATGGGAAGATAAAAGAGATGAACAGAAGATTTCAAAGAGCAGCTTGAGCAGACAAAGCCAATTACTATAATGAAATGTACAAAGACCTGGAGTTAGAAAACCAAAAGGGAAAAATACACTCAGCATTTCTCATGCTGGAAGAACTGAAGAAAAAATTTAAGCCTCGAGTTGCAATATTGAAAGAATCTATGGGCAAAATATTGAATGATACAGAAGGCATCAAAAGAAGATGGAAGGAATACACAGAGTCACTGTACCAAAAAGAACTGGTTGATGTTTATTCATTTCAGAAGGTGGCATATGTTCAAGAACCAGTGATACTGAGGGAAGAGGTTGAAGCTGCGCTGAGGGAATTGGCAAGGAACAAGGTTCCAGGAATTGACGGAATACCCATTGAGATGTTTCAACATACGGATGCCCTGCTGGAGGCACTCACTCAGTTATGCCAAGAGATTTGGAAGACAGCTACCTGGCCAACTGACTGGAAGAGATCCATATTTGTACCCATTTCAAAGAAAGGTGATCCCACAGAATGTGGAAATTATCGAACAATATCATTAATACTGCATGCAAGTAAAATCTTACTGAAGATAATTCAAATATGGTTGCAGAAGTATATTGGCAGAGAACTTCCAGAGGTGCAAGCTGGATTCAGAAGAGGACATGAAACGAGGGATATCATAGCTGATGTCTGATGGATCTTGGCTCAAAGCAAAGAGTACCATAAAGATGTTTATTTGTGTTTTATTGACTATGCAAAAGCATTTGATAGTGTGAATCATAACAAATTGTGGATAACATTGAGATGAATGGGAATTCCAGAACACTTAATTGTACTCATGAGGAACCTATACATAGACCAGGAGGCTTTTGTTCAAACAGAAAAAGGGAACACTGCGTGGTTTAAAATAAAAAATGCAATGCATCAAGGTTGTATCCTTTTACCATATTTATTCATTCTGAGGATGTCTCAGAACATCATCCATGAAGAAAGCAAGATATCATTAAAAATACAAGAAAGAAAGAAAAGACCAAAATGGATGTCAGGAGAGACTCTGAAACAACCTGCGATATGCCGATGACACAACTTTGCTTGCTGAAAGTGAGGATGACTTGAAGCACTTACTGATGAAGATTGAAGACTACAGTCTGCAGCTGCAGTATGGATTATATCTCAATTCCCATTCGTCTCAGTGTTATCCACAATTTGTTACATTATATCCACAATTTGTTATGGACTGTATGAAGAAGAACGTGGCATCAGAATTGGAGGAAGAATCATTAACAACCTGAAATACGCAGTATGACACAACTTCGCTTGCTGAAAGTGAGGATAACTTGAAGCACTTACTAATGAAGATTGAAGACTACAGTCTTCAATATGGATTATATCTCAATATAAAGAAAACAAAAGTCCTCACAATTGGACCTATAAGTAGCATTATAATAAATGGAGAAAAGATTGAAATTGTCAAAGACTTCACATTGCTTGGTTCTACAATCGACGCCAATAGAAGCAGCAGTCAGGACATCAGGCGATGTATGTTGTTGTTATTAGGTGCCGTCAAGTTGTTTCTGACTCATAGTGACCCCATGCACAACAGAATAAAACACTGCGCAATCCCATGCCAGCTCCATGATCCCTGCTATACTTGAGTCCATCATCACAGCCACTGTGTCAGTGCATCTCGTTGAAGGCCTCACCCTCTTTTGTCGACCCTCCACCCTACCAAGCATGACATCCTTCTCCAGGGAATGGTCCCTTCTGACAACATGACCAAAATAGGTGAGACGAAGTCTGGCCATTCTTGCTTCCAAGGAGCACTTCAGGTGCACTTCCTGGTCTGTTAGTTCTTTTAGCAGTCCATGGTGCTTTTAGCATTCTTCACCAGCACCACAACTCAAAAGCATCAACTCTTCTTTGGTCTTCCTTATTCATTGTCCAGCTGTCGCATGCATATGAGGCAATTGTAAATATCATGGCTTGTATCAGGTGCACCTTAGTCCTCAAGGAGACATCCTTGCTCCTCAGCACTTGAAACAGTTCCTTCGCGTTGACCTTCCCAGTGCTAAACGTCGTCTAATGTCCTGACTGTTGCTTCCATTGGCATTGATTGTAGAATCGATGTATGCACTAGGCAAATGGACTGCAAAGGACCTCTTTCAAGTGCTGAAGAGCAAAGATGTCTCCTTGAGGACTAAGGTGTGCCTGACACAAGCCATGGTATTTTCAATCACCTCATATGTATGCGAGAGCTGGACAATGAATAAGGAAGACCCAAGAAGAGTTGATACTTTTGAGCTGTGGTGTTGGCGAAGAATGCTGAAGAACTAACAGGTCTGTCCTGCAGGAAGTGCAGCCAAGAATGCTCCTTGGAGTTGAAGATGGCCAGACTTTATCTCACATACTTTGGTCATGTTGTCAGAAGGACCATTCCCTGGAGAAGGATGTCATGCTTGGTAAGGTGGAGGGTCAACAAAAGAGGATAAGGCCCTCAACGAGATGGATTGACATGGTGGCAGTGGCGATGAGCTCAAGTATAGCAAGAGTCATAGCTCAGGACTGGGTGGTGTTTCGTTCTGCTGTGCATAGGGTTGCTATGAGTCAGAGACGACTCAATGGCACTTAACAACAACAATAACATAGCAAAAGTGTTTTATGAGACTTAAGTAAGTGGATGCAATGTGCTTAAGAACAGTGCATACCTCATAGTAATCATTCAATAAATATTACTCAACATCATTATTAGAAATTTGCAATAAAGCTTTTTCTCTCAGCAAAGCCATTTTTAGGAAAGAAAAGGATAATAAATATCTGTTGAATGAATGAGTGAGTGACATATTGGAGAATGATGGGAAGCACCATGATAATTTTTAGTTATAATTTTCCAGACCAATTCTACCCTAGTTCTTCCCAAGTTTGCCCCAGCACCTTGATTAGATTCTACAGCCCTTGATGAACTTGGCACTAGTCATCTTCACCATAACCATGCAGGTGTGTTGTTGTCTGGGAAGCTATCCCAGATACTGACAAACCCTTGGCAATAGGATAGAAAGGAAAAAGGAAATTTTTGCTGACATCTCTAGATCTGACTCCCTGCTTATTTGGAGAGTTCCAGGGTATCTTTAAAACCTTAGTGTAAATGAGGAGGCTGCTGCTCTTTTTTGCCTCTCTCAGATACATATTTTGGATTTTTGTGCTTCAGTTCTCAGTGATTAGTCTGTAATGGTGGGATTTCATAAAGTCACAGGTCCACAGAGACATTTTAAATACAGGCAATGTTTGGAGGAGTGAGTACTGCAGAGACTAGTGGAAGAGCATGTGTGTTTGTGTGCCTTTGTTTAGGCTAATGTTTTGTCAGGGTTGCCATATTTTCTGGTGTGTAAGAACTGAATCTTCTCTCAAGGCCACACATATTTGGCAAGGCCTGTTATGTTACTCCCCTTGGGGATTTGTTCTTGGATAACGAGAGTGATAGATAATATTGGGTAGGTATTGACTGGACAGGGACATGAGAAACTATGGAAAGACTCTTTTTTAAAGAGCTTTATTACATTACAGATTTTAGTATCTGTAAACAATTACAGCCTTCAGGGAGCACAGGATTTAAATGAGAAACACAACTTTGTCAGATTATACCAGCTGGATAAAATGGCATGAGCTGCGGAAATCTATAATTAAATGTATTTTTGAAAATGAAAAAAATACAGTGTAACATCTGGTTTATTTCACTGTAGAAGTGGCTGGGTATTGCTTATGTAAGTGTGATTGACTTTGGCTGATATGTGGATTTCTCTGTGTAAAATTACCGTATCTTAATTAAATTTTTTCTATTTGATTCTATTTGTGTTGAAAACAAATTATTCATACACACCCCTCTAAAGAAAATGGCTGTCTTATTTAGAAAATCTAATGTTTGTTCATTTTCTTTTTGTTTCAGCGGATATTCAACTCCTTTGTATACACTGAGAAAATCTCAAATGGAGAAAGTGAAGTTCAGCAGGTAAGAGACTATTGAATCCTTAACATTCTGTGCCTTTTGTTTTGCTTTTAGAAGTGACTTCATCCTCTTTCAAGTGATCTACATTCTGGTTTCTTATTGTTCTGCCTATACAGTGTCATCTTAAAAATGCATCTGTACAAGTGCATCTTAAGTGTAATGGTGATGACCTCACACCATTTTGAGGTTCTCAGAAACAGTTGAAATTGTTGTTATTCATGTTATACTGTGGAAGCATTATTTAATTTTTTGTTGTCTTGAAGATCCTGAAACAATTTAGATTTCAAAATATGTTATTTCATCTGATAGAGAAGAAAGTGTTCCGGCCTTGGAAGCAGACAACTCTCAGGCTAAATATTGGTTTTCTAATTACTCTGTGATCCAAGATAAACAATTTAGGTTTCTGAATTCAGCTTATCAATCTTAAATAAGGGGAATGTAATATCTGCTCCACATGGTTGTGAGAATTAAATGAAATTATGTAAAATTAAGTAAGCATAAAATGAAAACATCTAGTCTCAAACTATTATACAGCTCCAGTAGTCAAAACAACCTTATCTTGGTACAACAGTAGACACATAGACCAGTGGAACAGAATTGAGAATCTAGAAATAGACCCATCCACCTCTAGAAAGCTGATTTTTGACAATGGGCTGAAACCCATTCAAAGGGGAAGAGATATTCTCTTTAACAAGTGGTGCTGGCAAAACTGGATATCCATTTGTCGAAAAATTAAACAAAATCCATACCTCACACCATACACAAAAATGAACTCAAGATGGATCAATGACCTAAATGCAAAGCCCCAAACTATAAAGTTCATTCAAGATAAAATAGGGGCAAAGTTAGGGACCTTAATTTATGGCATAAATAGATTGTTGAGCATAATCCAAAATGTACAAACAGCAGAAGAAAAACTAGATGACTGGGGCCTTCTGAAAATTAAATTCTTATGTTCATCAAAAGACTTTTCCAAAAGAGTGAAAAGAGAACTTGCAGTTTTGGGAAAAAAATATTTGGCAATGACATATCTGACGAGGAACTTATCTCTCAAATTTATAGAAAACTTCAGTACCTCAACATCAAAAAGACAAACAATCCAGTTCAAAAATGGGTAAAAGATCAGTGATGTTCCATTGATGACTTGGCCTCCCTCAGTGCTCACTCGGGGCATGGGCCTCTGAGGAAGATAACTATGTCAATAATGGTACAAATTGGGACCCTCTTGAGGGTAACAGAGGACACTAATGGGAAAGGATGGAAATACAGGGACTGTCCTGGGAACACTGAAGTATACAGCAACCTACATCTGAGTCTCTGCTGCACATTCTACCCAGCCCTTGGCCCACACCTTTGCTGTGGTCACTTTGCACCATCCCTTTAGCATACATCCAACAAGAAAATACAGAGGCTGGGAAAGCTGATAAAAGAAACCTCCTGCCTGGCCATGCCAATCTGCCCAATTAACTACGCTGAGCTTCACATTTTCCCTTAGAACCTACCTGTATTTAGTGTTTCCTCAATTTATAAAGATATTTCTAAAACTCCCTCTTCAAAATTTAACCTCAAGAAAAAAAAAAGGGGGGGGATGGGGACTAGGTTTGCTGGTCCGATAGAGCCTGGTGGAACCACTGAGATTATGACCCCTAACTGCCCTTCAAGTCTGGAATTGAACCCACACCTGTGGTTTCCAGCCAGGCAAAGGACAGGCATATGAGTTGAACATTTACCTCAAGTAGATACTCTCCTTGGAGAGAACAATCTTGGGAGAAAGAAGGCCTGCTTATGCACAGGGAGACAGCTCAGGGGGCAGGAGTGCATGGAGGGATGGACACAGGGAAGAGGTTACTGTGGGGAGGGAGTGGGAGAGGAGCTGTTGTATTGTGGTAAACTGTGGTCAATGTCATGAGACAAAGTGTGTGTGAACTGCTGTATGGAAAGTGAATTTGCTCTGTAAATCTTCACACAAATCACAATAAAATAAAATAAAATAAAAAATGGGTAAAAGATATGAACAGACACTTCACCAAAGAATATAATCAGGTAGCCAATGAATACATGAAGAAATGCTTGTGATCCTTAGCCATTAGAGAGCTGCAAAGCAACATAGTAATGAGATAGCATCCCACCCCAGCAATAATAGCAAAGTTCAGTAAGACAGAAAATAACAAATGCAGGTGAGGGTCTGGAGAGATTGGAACACTCATACATGGATGGTGGGACTGTAAAATGGTACAGGCACTGTGGAAAACGGTATGGCAATTTCTTAAAAAGATAGAAATAGAAATACCGATTGATCTAGCAATCCCACTACCAGGAATAGATCCTAAAGAGGTGAGATCCAAGGTATGAATAGATACATGCACACCCATGTTCATCACAGCACTAATTTCAATAGCAAAGAAATGGAAACAACTTATGTGGCCATCAAGAGATGAATGGATACCCAAATTATGGTACATACACACAATGGAATACTATGCAGCCTTAAAAGATTAATGAAGAATCAGTGAATCATCTCATACTGTGGATGAACTTTGGAGGACATTAAAAAAAAAAAAAAACCAAACTCACTGCTGTCAAGCCAATTCGACTCATAATGACCCCTCCTTGGATTTCCAAGGTGGTATCTCTACGGGAGCAGATTGTCTAATATTCCTTCTGAGGAGTGGCTGCTGGGTTTGAACTGCCAGCCTTCTGGTTTGCAGTCAGTTGCCTTAGGCACTACACTACCCCAGAACTCCCTGGAGGACATTATGCTGAGGTAAATAAGTCTATCACAGAAGGACAAATATTCCTGGAGTCTGTTTTTATAAAAAATCAAGGATGTCATGCTTGCTAAGGTGGAGGGTCGACAAAGGAGGGGAAGTCCCTCAACGAGGTGCACTGACATGGTGGCGGCGGCGATGGGCTCAAGCGTAGCAAGAGTCGTGGAGCTGGCTCAGGATCCGTTAGTGTTTCGTTCTGCTGTGCATAGGGTTGCTATGAGTTGGAAATGATTCAATGGCACTTAACAACAACAACATCGTCTGCCAAACCTATGTATGGTCATGGGTATCATCCCATTTGCCTATCCAAACCTGATCTTCTTGCCTATCTACCTATGTATTCACCCATCGACAAGTGTTAGCTATTATTGATAATACAGTCTTGTGTTTGCAGTAGTATTTACCGTTACTATCTATACCTCTCCATATCTTCCTTTTCTTTAGCAATATTATGCTAGTCATATGCTTCTGTTGTATTGCTTTTCCCTTCACCCATATCAACACCTATCTCTTAACTATCTATGTATCTTCCCTCCCCTGCCATGTCTGGTAGCTACTGCAAACACAAGACTGTATTATCAATCCACCTTACCAAGCATGACATCCTTCTCCAGGGAATGGTCCCTTCTGACAACATGACCAAAGTATGTGAGACGAAGTCTGGCCATTCTCGCCCTCAAGGAGCATTCTGACTGCACTTCCTCTAGGACAGACCTGTTAGTTCTTTTAGCAGTCCATGATACTTTCAGCATTCTTCACCAACACCACAGCTCAAAAGCATCAACTCTTCTTGGGTCTTCCTTATTCATTGTCCAGCTCTCACATGCATATGAGGCAACTGAAAATACCATGGCTGTGTCGGGCACACCTTAGTCCTCAAGGAGACATCTTTGCTCTTCAGCACTTGAAAGAGGTCCTTTTCAGCCAGTTTCCCCAGTGCTATATGTCATCTGATGTCCTGACTGCTGCTTCCATTGGTGTCAATTACAGAACCAAGCAATGTAAAGTCTTTTTCAATTTCAATCTTTTCTCCATTTATCGTAATGCTGCTTATAGGTCCAGTTGTGAGGATTTTTGTTTTCTTTATATTGAGATGTAATCCATACTGCAGACTGTATTCTTCAGTCTTCATCAGTAAGTTCTTCAAGTCATCCTCACTTTCAGCAAGCAAAGTTGTGTCATCAATGTATCACAGGTTGTTAATGATTTATATGTATTTATGTGTGCTATAAAAATGTCCATACTCACTGCTATTGAGTGGATTCAACTCACAGCAACCCCTCCTTGGGTTTCTGAAGTGGTATCTCTACAGAATAAGATTACCTAGTCTTCCTTCTGGGAGCTCTGGTATAGCATAGTGCCTAAGGCACTTGACTGCTAACCAGAAGGCTGGCGGTTCAAACCCACCAGCCACTCCTCGGAAGGAAGGTTGGGCAATCCTATTTCCGTAGTGATACTGCCTCGGAAACCCAAGGAGGGGTTGCTATGAGTCGGGGGTGACTCGATGGCACATAACAACAACAACAACAGTCTTCCTTCTGAGCAGTGGCTGGTGAGTTTGAATTGACAGCCTTCTGGTTAGCAGTCAAATGCCTAAGGTACTATGCCACCAGCTAATGGGACAGAGATAGGATAACTTCTAGCCACAACTAAGGGCTTTGAGGTCATAAGTCACTGGATCTTTGGGCTGGGGACCACAGTCATGGGGAACATCAAGCTTAGTTGGCACAACTTGGTACACAAAAATATTGATCTGCCTCTTACTTCACTGAGTAGCAACTGGGGTTCTAAAAGCTTGAGATTGGCCATCTAAGATGCAACTATTGGCTTATCCTCATCTAGAACAAAGAAGAGTGAAGAAAATTGAAGATGCATGGAAATAGTCCAAAGGACTAAAGGACAATGAGGATTTCAGCCTATATGGCCCTGAGACCAGAAGAACTAGATGGGGGCTAACAGCAATACTAACCACTCGGAAAAGAATCAAAATTGGAAATTCTGGAGAGAGTAGGAGAAAAAATGTGGGGCAGAATTTTAAAAAACACTGGTTTACTGGTGGGATTGAGATTGGTGAAACCCCCGAGACTATGGATGGCCCCATGTCACCCTTTGAGCCTAGAATTGAACTCACTCCTGTGACTTAACTCTTAGCCAAACAATAGACAGGCCTATGAGCTGAAACCACACCACGGAGATACATTCTTTAGAACAGTCATCCATGGGAGATCAGAGGGC